CTAAATGGCAAATTATTCATTAATTTACTTTGTATGTAATTAATTACAGACTTTTAGTTAGAGTACAAAATCATACACAATTATTTTTTTATGGGCATAGTATCACATTTTTTCCAATTATCTGTGCCCTAATTAGCAGTCTATATCACTCAAATAGAGGTTACTATTTGCATACAGTACTGTGCAAAAATTTTTAGGCCGGTGTGAAGAAAATGCTGTAAAGTAAGAATGCTTTCAAAATACGTATATATATTATTTGTTTATTTTATCAATTTACAAAATGCAAAGGAAGAAAAATCTAACTCAAATCAATATTTTGCATGACTACCCTTTGGCTTCCAATCAGCGTCAATTCTTACACTTGCACGAAGTCAGGGATTTTGTAGAATTAGAGTCAGGTGTACGCAGGGGCATATCTACATAGAGGCAAACAAGGCGTTTGCCTTGGGCGGCATCTTACAGGGGGGCGGCGCTGCCCCCAGGAAGAAGAGACACATGTGGGTATGAGCGGAGGGGGGGGGAACAGTTGACACACAAGTAGGGGGACCGGGCTCCACTGTCAGGCAGGCTCTGGTCAGGATCTGCATTGTGCGCCGGGTGATGTGGGGTGGCACCAGATCCTGACACCATCTGGAGGAGCTGCTGCTGGACAGGTAAAAGCTTGGAGGACTGGTGCTTCCCCACTCCTGTCACGCTGCCCCCCATCACGCTGCCCCCTGACACACTGCCCCCCTCCTCCCCCCCCTGCCCCCACCTGTCCCACTGCCCCAACTGTCCCACTGCCCTCTTCCTTTCCTGCTGCCCCCCCTCCTGTCCCACACACCCCATCAAACTGCCCCCCCTCCCCCCCCCCTGCCCCTCACCTGTCCCACTGCCCCCAATTGTCCCATGCCCTTCCTTTCCTGCTACCCCCCTCCTGTTCCACATCCCCCCCCCCCATCAAACTGCCCCCCTCCTTCCTATTGCCATCTCTTGTCCCCTATCCCCCTTCTGTCACGCTGCCCCCACCTGACACACTGCCCCCCTCCTGTCCTGAAGGGGTGGATCTTAAACAAGAAGGGGTTGGACAAATTTAGATGGGGTGGCTATTTTAGTCTTGCCTAGGGCAGCATAAAACCAAAATACATCACTGGGTGTATAATTAACCAATTATACCAGGCAGGTGCTGATGATCATCAATTTCATAGGTTGTAACACAGTCATTTAATGAGACAGAAACAGCTGTGTAGAAGACTTAAAACTGGGTGAGGAACAGCCAAACTCTGCTGCTAATGTGAGGTTGTGGAAGACTGTTTTATGTCACAGGTCATACACCATGGCAAGACTGAGCACAGCAACAAGACACAAGCTAGTTATGCTGCATTAGCAATGTCTCTCCCAGGCAAAGATTTCAAAGCAGATTGGGGTTTCAAGATGTACTGTTCATTCTCTTTTGAAGAAGCACAAAAAGACAAGTAATGTTGAGGTCCATAGATGTAGTGGTCGGCCAAGAAAACTTAATGCAGTAGATGACAGCCACATCATCCTTACTTCTCTTCGACATCGGAAGATCATCAACAGTGTCCTTGCACAGAACTGGCAGAAAAAGGACCCTATAAAAAAGGCACTCAGGGGCTACTGTTCGAAGAAGTGGTCTTCCTAAACTGACCCCGGGCGGGCAAAGAGCCATGCTCTCCAATGGTGTAACCAATGCTAGGTGACTCAAATATGCCTTTAAAACTTATGTCCCCTTTTACAGCAAAAACTTCCAGCAGTTCAGGTTTTTTAGTATAAATATTTTAAAATAAATATTCACCTGTAGGCAACGTCAGTTTTTTTTAAAGGGCTGAGAGCGGTATTGAAGATCATCATGTGAATAGCTGCATAGCTGCAATAGTTAGGCAAGACGAAAAAGGCACATGTCCATCGAGGGTTGTAAATCCCCAATTACTTATTGACAGAGCGCATTTTTACTGACAACCTGAACTGTCACTCCAATTAGAAAAAGTAATCCAGAGGTGATAGGTTTAAAGAATTTCTTCAGCCAATGTCAATAAATGAATTCAAGGATTGTTTAAATGATGTTTCGATTATCTCACCTTCATGTATCTGTGCTCCTGGGATTACATAAAGAAATAGAAGAATTTAGGAAGTGGCCATACAGAAGTATCTGAGGTTTTTTCGAATGACCGCTTTGGAACGATTTTATATGGAGTTCTCATTGTGTGATCTACATGAAAAATGCAAAGGGTGGTCATTCAAATATTAAAAATATCTTTGCTGTTTAACATTATTTTCCATTTGGAGTAAATGACTTTCCCATAATAAAATTACTTCAAACACTGTTAGACATTGATCATTTCGAAAAAAAAAATCCTCCATCCTGCTCCTTCAAATTCTCTGGTGACTGTGGTCACAAATGAATTTCTACCCCGCTGGTTAGGCTCCATGTACACTGCAGCTGATAAACTGAAGAGCTTTTCTGCGTTTTTTTCAGCAGCCCCTGAACTCCCCCTAATGTTTTCCTATGTGTCCATGTACATATCATCTGAGCGTTTACAGGCAGTTGAGTTACAGTCGTTTTTTTGAAATGAACGCTACCAAACTTGCGTTATGTTGTAGGAGAAGATTTATAGATTATATCAGCGTTTGTGCGCTAGGCAAACGCGGTAAAAACTACTTTTTTAAGAGTAATTCCTTTAGAAGCGTTTTTTAACTATTCCATTTCCAGATGCTGTCCGGACTCCTTTTTTGCCTCATCATCAAAAAAATGCGCGCAATCTTGTTGCTTCCATGTATTGAAATGGACCCGGTACACCAGTGCAGTCAGTTCTAGGTTTTGCTTCTAAATTTTCTTGGCTCATGCAAATGCAGGAATGCAACGCTGCCTAAACAGATTTTGCCTCCATAGACGTAATCCCGGGTTGTAGCTCGGGGTAAAATGTCTGTAAGTGAAAAATCTGGTGCTTCTCCATAGAAAGCAATCACTCGGGCCAGGTTTGAGGCACTGCATAAAGCATCCCTGCAGCTGAAGTTAGAAGCTTGTCCTTGCCCGCGATGTTGCCCCTGCAGCACTCCCCAGGCCATCTCCTCCGGCTGATGCCGGCATCCGGCTGTTGTTTTCCTGTGTTCCAGTCCCTGTGACGTCGGGATGTATGGGCCAGCGGCAGAGGGAAATTTGAAAAATTTCAAAAAAAATTTCCTTTTTTTCAAAACCCTTTTATATAGTAAAACATTGCAGTTCAGGTTTTTTACATAACATTTTATAAAATAGTGTTTGTCACCTTCAGGCTGCATTTTGATTGTTCTTTCTAAAGCTGGAAACCTAGAAAATCAGCATGGCGTAGCCAAAAAGCTGCCTTTAGGCAAGACGAAAAAGGGTTTTAGACCATCTAGAGAACAGCGGTTGTAAATCAGAACCACTTGCAGAACAGAGCGATAATTTTACTGGGGGAAATTGACTCAATTAGACACTGAAGAGACGATATTTAAAGACTTTGCTCACGAATCGAATTCGCTATATTTAAAAATTTCAGTGTTTTTTTTATCTAGTACATTATTACCCATTAAATGTATAATTTAGACCTTGTTCAGAACAGATTTCAGTGTGTTATTCCTAAAAATTACAGCCTACAATAAAAAAAAAAAAACTACATATTTCCATGCAAAAAAATGAATACCCGCTTTCAGCAAAAAAATGAAATGCAATTAACATTTAGGGAGGTTAAATGGACGTTTTCCTAGCAGAAAAGTTTCCATCGTCAGAATGTGATTTTAAAACGTCCCGTGTACATGCAGCCTTAGACAAATTATTCTTATTACATGTGGTTTATATAGCGCCAAAGGGTTTTCAGCGCTGTACAATAGCTGGGGGGGACAATACATGAGACAGTACAGCTAACTACAAACAGCACACGAGGGTTTTTTTTTTTTAGAGGGCCCTACTCTTTGGAGCTTACTATCTATGGAGGGAGGGTTTACAGTCGTTTTACAGGCAGTTGAAGTCTACAGGCGTTTTTTTGAACGCACCAAACTTGCGTTCAGGAGTAGATTTTATGAAGGAGAATGCTTGTTAGGTGAGGGTGGGGTAGGCTTCCCTTAAAGGTTTGCGTTTTCAGAAGCGCCTAAAGTTGCATAGGAGGGAAGGTGACAGTCTGATGGATTGGGTAGTGAGTTCCAGAGTATGGGGGAGGACCTGGAGAAGTCTTGCAGTCGTGCATGGGGGAGGTTTCGCCAAAGCAAGACGCTAGAAAACGCGGTAGCAAACGTGGTAAACGGGTACGGTTTTATCCTGGGAATCAGGTTTTGAGTAGTTAGGGGCAGTTTCCATGTGAAGTGGCTTTTCCAAACAGTGTCATGGAGCCTTAGACAAGTAAACAAACATTCATGAAATTAAAATGATTGAACTAAATGCCATTAGTGTATGGCCAGCTTAACTGCCCCAATACCCGAATGTTCCTTAAAAATGTGGCAAAACGTGAGATCACCTTTTGGGTGTCTACCACTTAACCACTTGCCATCCGGCCGCTGTATATAAACGGGCGGACGGTGGCAGTGCAGGGGCGGGTTGCTGTTCATAAACGGCGCCCGCCATTTTGGATTGTGCTTGCTCCCTGGGAACGTGCGGTACCGCGATCCGGTGACAGGACACAGTGGAACACCAATGCTGTACGGGACTTCTGTGTGAGGTCCCGATCATGTGATCACTGATTGGCCAATCAGTGATCACATGAAGAGTAGTAAGCAAGATGTCACTTCTGACATCATTGCTTACTACGTGTGTGAAATCTGTGAATGATCAAAGAGATCACATTGTACAAGCAGGGGCGGACTGACCATTTGGAAACTCAAGCAATGCCCAAGGGCCCGGGGTCAGTAGGGGGCCCCATGAAATTCCCCTGGTACTTTTTCATAGGCTTTTTTTTGAGTTTGGGCAAGGACACAGGGGCCACATGATCCCCTATTGCTCGGGAGCCCCATGAGTTGTCAGTCCACACCTGGGTACAAGGCTATTCACAACAGCCTTGTACCATGTGACAAGCTGTGACCAATCACAGCTCACACAGTAATTCTCAATGGCTGCAAGAATGCAAGGGTGAAAACTGAGAGATCAGACACCGTTGATTGCTCATTTCTCCCTGCCGCTTAGAGCAGAGCCGGGACTCTTTGTTTCTGGCTCTCTCATTTGCCCCCCAGTACGCACTGGAGCACTTGCTGTTGAGGGGGAGGGAGCAGCTGGACAAGACTCTCAGTGTCACACCGAGAAGCTGAGCCAGGCGCTGGTCCAGGCGCCTGGGTGGATCCCGACCATATGGTTGGGCTCTTTTTCCAGCCTGGACCAGCTGAGTGACGTCAGCCAAGAGCAGATTTTAGCCCGCTTTCAGTCTGAAAATGGGTCACATGAGTGCAGAAGAAACTGGACTCTTGTGATCCACTGGAGAAGTACAGCCAAACGAGCTTTGTCCTACTTCTCCCTTAAAGGCAAACTGAAGAGTCTGGAAAGTTAGACTGAAACAGAAAATATGGCAAGTTAAACAACAAAAGGCTGAAAGTGTTAAAGAAAAAACAGAAGACGCTTCAGACACCGACTGTGCCTTTCACTTCAAAGAGGCCTCGTCATTTTTCACCTGGTGCATGATGAGAAAAAATCTTCACTCAGCTTGATCAAAGCAAGACAGAAAGAGAGAGAATTACAAAATATAATGAACAGTATATTGATTACTCGAGTTTATATAGCGCCAAAAGCGCTGTACAATGTTTTTTTTTTTGGTAGTATAGGAGTGATGAATTTTGGGGTGGTTTGTTGTGACATTGTATACAGTGTGAGATTCTGGAGGTTGATCGATAGGGATGAGCTGAACTGCCCTGGATTCTGTTTGAACAGGGTTCAGTAAACTTCAGTTGCTGAATCCGAACCCTACTGACAACAATGGGAGGCAAATCTGGGATAATAAACCGGGGGTTGTCAAAATATTAGCAGGGGGGCACTGCTGGCGGCACTGATGGGTGATACTGCTGGGCACAGGTGGGTGGCACTGCTGGGCACAGGTGGGTGGCACTGCTGGCCAGCACAGGTGGGTTGCACTGCTGAGCACAGGGAGGGTGGCACTGATGGGCATAGGTGGGTGGCACTACTGAGCACAGGTGGGTGGCACTGAATCTGAACCCACTGACAATGGGCACAGGTGGGATGGCACTGCTGTTGCACAGGTAGCAGGGGGCACTGATGGGCACACTGATGGGTGGCACTGCTGGCACAGGTGGGTGGCACTGCTGAGCACAGGTGGGTGGCACTGCTGAGCACAGGTGGGTGCACTGACATGCTGGGTGGCACTGCAGGGCACAGGTGGGTGGCACTGCTGAGCACAGGTGGGTGGAACTGCTGGCACAGGTGGGTGGCACTGATGGGCACAGTGGGTTGCACTGCTGAGCACAGGTGGGTGGCACTGATGGGCACATGTGGGTGGCACTGCTGAGCACAGGTGGGTGGCACTGAATCTGGGACACAGGTGGGTGGCATATGGGCTAATAAACAGGGGGTAGTCAAAATGATGGGCACAGGGGGGGCACTGCTGAGCACACTGATGGGTGGCACTGATGGGCACAGGTGGGTGGCACTGCTGAGCACAGGTGGGTGGCACTGCTGGGCACAGGTGGGTGGCACTGCTGAGCACAGGGGGGTGATCTGAACTGCTGGGCACAAGGTGGGTGGCACTGATGGGCACGGGGGTTGTCAAAATATTGCAGGGGGGCACTGCTGAGCACACTGTGGGTGGTGATACTGACAGGCACAGGTGGGTGGCACTGCTGAGCACAGGTGGGTGGCACTGCTGGGCACAGGTGGGTGCACTGCTGAGCACAGGTGGGTGGCACTGATGGGCATAGGTGGGTGGCACTGCTGAGCACAGGTGGGTGGCACTGATGGGCAAAGGTGGGTGGCACTGCTGAGCACAGGTGGGTGGCACTGATGGGCATAGGTGGGTGACATAGGTGACGGCACTGCAGGTGATCATCGGTGCCCTGATGATCAGTGCCGATTCCTTTGCTGACATTTGCTGGTTCTCGGCAGTACTTTCCTCACGCTGTGACAATGTGAGGAAAGTGTAGCCGATAACCGGCAACTGTATTTACCATGTGATCTGCTGTGTCATTGGACACAGCTGATCACATGGTAAAAGGCCGCTGTGATTGGCCTTTTACCGTATTGCCCAATCAGCTGTGTCCGTAGGACACAGAGATCACTGGCAGTGCCGTGTGTGCGCCGCTGGGGGCGAGTTCTGGAAGGACGTCCATGAACGCCCTCCCAGAACTAGACAACCGCGCTGTAGCCTTTTTCGGCTATAGCGTGGTTGGGAAGTAGGTAAAGGTACCACACCACAAATTAAATACTCAAAAAATTTAACGAATACAGCTTTATTAATGACATTCAAACAACGGTTGTGGTCAGGGGTGTATTTAGGTTTCATGCTGCCCTAGGCAACACAAAAATTGGCTCCCCCCCACCGACACTGACACCGATCAACACCCCACCGACACTGACACCAATCAACACCCCCCTCCCCCCACGAAGAGAGCCTGACATTGACCAACGAACACCCCAGCCCCCACCCTCAGCCCCACCTGAGAGAGCCTTCCACTACCACCGCCCCCCATACACTGGCAACCCATGCCCCTCACCCTGGCAAGAGATAAGGACTCACCTTCACAGCTCTGGACATCCCCAGGAACAAGAGTCAGGCTTTGCATACACCATCAAGAAGCTCCCACCGGGTCTCATGCTGCTGTGTGTCCTTTCTTACATTCCTTCTTTTGAGGGACGGCGCTGCCCCCTGAAAATATGCCGCCCCCTTGAAAAATGCTGCCCAAATGCCTTTTTGCGTTGTGGTAAATACACCCCTGGTTGTGGTAATGAGAATTGCGCAATCAATATATGAATATATATAAAAATATGGCCTTAAATAGCATACAGATTCTAATTGACATTTTAGATCCAAGTTGATACCTTGCTTGTTGCAAATGAATACGAATGAATTTGTTGTTTTGTTATCATTTTTTTTTTGATTCGTTGACATTTGTTACTATTGTGATTTAGAGATTTGGATACATCCAAATCTCCGATTAATGCAAATTTTGTCCAAAATTTTGATTTGTAATTAAGTGAACTGCACATGAAAAAAAACTGAGCTCTTAGTATTCCCCCCAGCCCGTGCCCCGCCCCCGACTTCTCCATCAAGATCAATAACACAATCATCAGTCCCTCCCCTCATTCCAGGGTACTAGGTTTAATCCTAGACTCCCATCTGTCCTTTCAGCCCCAAATCCAATCACTGTCCAAATCTTGTAGACTTCACCTCCACAACATCTCCAAGATACGCCCGTTCCTAACCTCGGAAACTACTAAGCAACTTTTTCCCTCCCTGGTTATCTCTCGCCTTGACTATTGTAACTCCCTCCTCATTGGCCGACCTCACCACAGGCTATCCGCTCTTCAGTCTATCATGAATGCTGCTGCCAGACTCATCCACCTTACTAACCATTCTGTATCTGCCATCCCTCTCTGCAGATCCCCTCCACTGTGTCTCCACTCAGTGTCCTCCACCCCCACCCCTCTCTGCCAATCCCTCCACTGGCCTCCACTCAGTGTCCTCCATCCCCTCTCTGCCAATCCCTCCACTGGCCTCCACTCAGTGTCCTCCACCCCTCTCTGCCAATCCCTCCACTGGCCTCCACTCAGTGTCCTCCATCCCCTCTCTGCCAATCCCTCCTCCAATACTCTTCCCACCCCTCTCTGCCCAATCCTCGGATAAAATTAAATCATTAACAATAACGTATAAAGCCATTTATAACTGCCCCAAATTACATCACCAATCTTGTCTCCAACTGGCTTATCCAACAGATAAAATTCCAAACCATATCCTCTCTGCTCCAAATTACGCACGACCTCCTGCTCTCTAGCTCCCTTGTCTCACTCCTCCCATGCTCCATCTCTCCAGGACTTCTCCAGCTCGTCCCCCATCCTCTGGAACTCTCTACCCCAATTTATCAGACTATCACCTACTCTGCTCACTTTTAGGCAATCTCTGAAAACCTATCTCTTCAGGGAAGCCTATCCTGCCCTCAGCTAATAATGAAATCTCCTACTCTTCCTACCAGTCCATCCCCCACAGTTATTACCTTTTGCACCACTAGCCCCTCCCTCTTAGATTGTAAGCTCCCAGGATCAGGGCCCTCCTACCCCTCTTGTATTGAACTGTATTGTGCTGTATTGTCTCCTGTTATATTGTAAAGCGCTGAGCAAACTGCTGGCGCCAGGGGCGGACTGACCATTTGGAAACTCGGGCACTGCCGAGGGCCCGGGGTCAGTAGGGGGCCCCATGAGATGCCCCTGGTACCTTTTTCATAGGTTTTTTTTTGAGTTTGGGCAAGGACACAGGGGCCCCATGATCCCCTATTGCCCAGGGGCCCCATGAGTTGTCAGTCCGCCCCTGGTTGGCACCATATAATTCCTGTATAATAATAATAATAATAAATAATCTGTCTATTTGCCAGTGGCATAAAAATTTACCCAAATAATGAAGTGTACCAGCTGCATAAAGGAAATTTTTTTCGTGAGCAGCAGAACTTGACAGTCCCAGGACTTAATGAATTCCCTCCACTCTATATAAACTCAAACTCCAGGAAAGAAATGTATTTTCTCACATTCACTGATGAGTCCTCAAGGTGTACTGAGATCCACCTGTGACACAGCGGAGATGAAGCTTCAGATAAACTTGAACGATACCTTGCAACTAATTTCGTAAAAATGCCTAAAAGACCTGATCAGATAATAGCACAGAAGTCGTTAAACACAAGCTATCCCCAGGTGAAGTGACACATCAATATGAAATACGAGGACTCCTTACTGACCACACCGACCTTTAATCACACCTGAAAAATCACATTTATTTCAAACATTTAATCAAGATTCAATCGGTATAAACATTATGTAAATGTTAAAAATGCCTGTAAGGGTAATCTGCCTGATTTACAGGTAAAAAAAGAAGTCAAAACAACGTGACAAAACTGCGAAGACGACTCAGATTAAGAA